CTCCAGGTTGTCCACTGCTATTTCTCATTCACATAGGAGTTGCTCTGGGAGAAGTGAGTAAATGGTTTTCCCTGCTTTCCTTACTCCCTGGGGCGGGGAATCATGGTCTGAGCCCTCTGCCTGGGAGAGGCTGGACCAGGTGACCTGCAACGGTCTTTTCCAACTCTCAGACTCTACATAGGCTTCCTGTGGTACAGGCTCAAGGGGCTGAGCCAAGGAGTCTGTTTTCTGCCTACTGGGGGAATTGGGTAACTCATGTTTTACATACCTCTGTAGTGTATTAATTCTGCTAGAGTTCTTGTAAGCAGTGCTTTATCCAATGTATTCTTAAATGTATAGGATTATATCCATGTTACTCACAGGAGCTACTGTTTAATATCTTAAACTAAAAGCATGTGTTTTCACAGGAACATGATTCATTTCGTGTTATGCAATTCACAAATGACCTGCAAGGATGCTGCCACTCCAGCTGTGGGTTGCAAACACCCTACACAGTGTTACCGCACATCCCTGGATTCCTGTCTCCACAGGGAATCAACTTCACACTTTGGGTTCTACCCCCTCGGCTGGTCACAGTCATTCCTGCGTGAGTCCCTCTCCCCTGCACTCTGGACTCCACTGGCCTCATGTCCCTACAGCCTGGGGTCTTTCCTCCACTCCACACTGGCCAGGCAGGGGCTCAGGCCTTTTGAGGTTAGGAGAAGAGAGAGAAACAAACACCTGCAGTCACCTAGTCCCACACCAGTGATATTGTGCAGGAGGGTGAGGATCCCAATAGGAATAGATGCTGGCCAGAAGACTCAGAGCCAGAATCCCAGTGTGTCTGTTGCTGTGGAAGCTTCCTTTCAAACAACGTGGAGAATACACATGGCCTGACAGCCTATTCGAAAAGAAAATGCCAAGAGCCCTCAAGGATCCCCAGATTGCAGGAGGGATGGAGCTCTCAGACAGTGCAGTAGCGAGAGGCTCTGCACAGTACTTCCTGCCGAGGCCCTGGGCTTGAAGGGGATCCGGGATGGCACATACCCTCCCCTCGGCTCTCAGACATCCCCTTACACTCAAAGACACTTATCTATGCTCACACGCTTTTTTGGGCTCTCATTTGCCTTGTTTTATTGAATACAATACACTTCCAGGAAAATGCACAATCCTAAGTGTACAACTCCATGTACACTCTCTTTTACAAACAGAACCGTCTTTGTTTATTTTGTGTTGCTATAACAGAACACCTGAGACTGGGTCATTTAGAAAGAAGAGGGATTTGCTTTTCCCAGTTCTGGAGGCTGGAAAGTCCAAGATCAAGGCACCAGAATCTGATGAGAGGCTTCCTGCTGCATCCTCACACAGTGGAAGGTGGAAGGGGGTGAACCTATGCCCACAAGCCCTTTTTATAGCATCATTAATTCATTCATGAGCCTTCATAACCTAAACATCTCCAATTAGGCCCTACCTCCCCAACACTGTGGCACTGGGGATTCCAACACACAAATTTTGGAGGGACACATTCAGGACATAGCAAGAACATACCCTCTAAACAAAGGCATAGAACATGACCGTGATTTCCAGAGGCCCTTTTCTCCCTCCAGTTACTACTGACACCTACAGCAAGCACAATCCTGATTTGTAACAGCAGAGTTCAGTTTTGCTTCTTCTCAACCCTAAATAAATGAAATCATACAAGGCGTTCTCATCTCTTCTTTTGCTCAGCACTGTAATTCTGAGATTCATACACATTGCTGCATACAGTTCGTTAATCCTCATTTCTGCATAGTGTTCTGTTGTATGAATACACCACAAGTTAGGAATTCATTACCCTGTTGATGGGTATTGGTATCATTTTCCAGTGTTCACTGTTACATGCAGTACTGCTATGTACATACATTTTGATGCACATATGTATGTATATGTATTCTATGGGGTTTGTACTTTAGAATTTCTGGTAGATTGGGTTTGCATATGTTCAGCTTTAACGAACATTGTCAAATAACTTTCCAAAGCGGTTGTATGAATTTACTCCCTGATAGTAGTTTATGAGAGTGTTCACTGCTCCATATCCTTACTTAATAGTTGGTGTTATGTTTTTAATCTTAGACCTTCTGTTGAGTGTGTAGTAATATGGCACTGGGTTTTAATTTGCATTTCATGGGTGACTAATGATGTTTAATCACCTTTTGATGTGTCTATTGGCCATTCAGATATTCTCTTTTGTGATTTTTTCTTCAAGTCATTTGCCAGTAATTTCATGGGATCATCTGTTTGTTTTAATTGATTTGAAGTAGTTTTAAAAATAGATTCTGAATGCAAGTCCTTTGTCAAATATTTGTGTTGCAGGAATAATCTCCTATCTTATGGCTTGCTTTTTTACTAATGGAGTCTTTTGATAAATAGAATATTTTAATTTTAATATAATCCAATAACTATAGTAATCGTTTTCTTTGTCTTTCTAACTAATGCCTTTGGTGATTTTTAAAAAATGTTTACTTACTTCAAGTTAATGAGGATACTTTTTTTTTTTTAACCGTAATCTTTACTTTTTTACACTTTCATCTTTATTATGCAATCTATATGGACTTGGTTTTTTTCAAGTTGTGAAAATAGGAATCAAGGTTTGTATTACATGTGAATAGCCAACTGAGCCAGCACCATGTATGGAAAAGGTCATCCATTGCTTGCTGCACTATTTCATTACCTTTGTCCTTAGTCAAGTGACTGTGTGTGTGGATCAGCTTCTAGACTCTGTTCTGCTTCACTGTTCTATCCTTCCACTAGTATAACATGGTATTAATTACTGTAACTTTACAAGAAGTCTTGATAGCTGGCAATGTGTCTTCCAGCTTTGTTCCTTAAACACTCTCTTCTCTATTCTTGGTCTTTAATGTTTCCATATGTTTCAGAATCAGCTTAATTTCCCCCAAGAAGTCTGGTGTGCTTTTGACTGGAATTGCATTAACTCTGTAGACCAGTTTGAAAATACCTGATACCTTTACAATATCGAGGCTTTCAATTCATGAACACAGCAGATCTCTCCATTTATTTAGACCTTCTTTATTTTTTCTCTGTAATGCTTTCCATATATTTTTTCTCATCTTTCATTAGATTTATTCTCAGATATTTTGTCTTTGAAGCCATTGTAAATATTTTTAAACTTCATTTTTGAACTGTTTATTGCAGATATATAGAAATATCATTGATTTTTGTATAGTAACCTTGAATCCAGTAGCCTTGCTAAATTTACTTCTTTCTCATACATTTAATTGGCCATAGATTATTTTGGATGTTCTACATAAACAATCATATGCTTTGCAGTTTGTAACTTTTTTTCCTTGCCTTATTGCAATGGTTAAGATCTCTAATACAATGTTTAATAGAAATAGTATTAGGAAATATTCCTAATCTCAGGGAGAAAGCTTTTAATATTTTAGTATTAACTATGATATTTTCTGTAAGATTTTCACTGATATTTACCAATTTAAAGAAGTTTCCTTCTATTCCTAGTGTGTTGAGTGTTAATTATGAATAAGTATTTGATTTTATCAGATGCTTTTTCTGCATCATTCTATTGAGATATTTTTCTGCCTTATGATGCTAATTTAGTGAAATACACTAATATTTTAAAAACATAATACATATATCTTAAAATGCATCATTTTGAAGAGTGCAATTCAGTGGTTTTTAGTATATTCACAAAGTTGTGCAATAATTACCATATATAACTCTAGAACATTTCACTCCAGAAAGAAACCCTATACCTACTAGCAGTCCTTCCCCGTTCCCCCTTTCCCCTACTCCACTGTCTGTCTACAATATCTGTTTCTATGGATTTGCCTATTCTGAACATTTCATATAAGTGGAATATAGACTTTCTGTGTCTGGCATTTTTCACTTAGCACAATATCATCAAAGTTAATTCACATTGCAACATGAATCAGTACTTCAATCCTTTTATTGTACAGATATGCCACATTTTGTTTACCATTCATCAGCTGATACTTAGGTGGTTTTCACTTTTAGTCTATTGTAAATAAGGCTATAATGAACATCTGTGTACAAGTTTTTGTGGGTACATAAGTTTTCATCTCTCTTGGGTATATACCTAGGAGTGGGTGTAAAGTGGCATCTTAAAATTTTAGTATTTCTTCTGTGACTAATGATGTTGAGCATCTTTTCATGTGCTTGTTGGCTATGCATAGATCTTCGTTGGAAAAATGCTTACTTGAGTCTTTTTGCCCATTTTTAAATTGGGTGGCTTACCTTTTGGTGGTTGAGTCATAAGAGTTCTTTATATATTCTGGATATCAGACCTTTATCAGATGTATGATTTGCGAATATTTTCTCCCATTCTGTGGTTGTTTCGTTTTCTTGACAGTTTTTTTGAAGCATAAAATTTAAAATTTTGATCAAGTCTTATTTGTCTATTTTTTCTTCAGTTGTTTGCACTTGTGGTGTCATGTGTAATGAGCCATTACCACATCCAAGGTCATGAAGATTTATGCATTGGTTTTATTCTAAATGTTTTCTAGTTTTAGCCCTTACAAGTAGGTCTTTGATCTGTTTTGATTTGTTTTGCATATTGTATAAGGAAGGATCCCACTTCATTGTTTTGCATGTGGATATCCAGCAGTCCCAGCTACTTTGTTGAAAATAAATCCAGTTGAAAGGGTTGAAAACACTGATTTTGTGATGTTAAGCCAAAATCTTGCATTCCTAAATAATCAGCTGAACTTTACTTTCTTTTTTTTTTTTTTTTTTTTTTTTTGAGACGGAGTTTCACTCATGTTACCCAGGCTGGAGTGCAATGGCGCGATCTCGGCTCACCGCAACCTCCGCCTCCTGGGTTCAGGCAATTCTCCTGCCTCAGCCTCCTGAGTAGCTGGGATTACAGGCACGCGCCACGATGCCCAGCTAATTTTTTGTATTTTTAGTAGAGACGGGGTTTCACCATGTTGACCAGGATGGTCTCGATCTCTTGACCTTGTGATCCACCCGCCTCAGCCTCCCAAAGTGCTGGGATTACAGGCTTGAGCCACCGCGCCCGGCTTTGAACTTTACTTTCTAATCAACTAAACTAATACTTTATTTAATATATTTATAAGTATGTTCATTAGATATAGTGGCCTATAATTTTCCTTTCTTGTAATGAACCTGCCACCCTTTGGTATTAAAATTAAGGTAGCCTCAAAGTGAATTGTGAATTATTTTTCTTTTTCTATTATTTCAAACAGTTTGTATAAGACTAGTGTCAATTCTTTAAATGTTTAAAAGTATTTGCTGGTGAAGAAATCTGGACTAGGAATTTGTTTATGGGAAAGTTATAGTTACAGATTCAACTTTTTTTTTTTTTTTTTTAGACACAGTCTCACTCTGTCACCCAGGCTGGAGTTGCCTCACTGCAATCTTCACTTCCTAGGTTCAAGCAATTCTTGTGCCTCAGCCTCCTGAGTAGCTGGGATTACAGGCGCCTGCCACCACACCCAGCTAATTTTTGAATTTTAGTAGAGATGGGGTTTCACCATGTTGGCCAGGCTGGTCTTGAACTCCTGATCTCAAGTGATACACCCACTTCAGCCTCCCAAAGTGATGGGATTACAGGCGTGACCCACTGCTCCCAGCCCAGATTCAACTTCTTAGACAGATATAAACCATTCAAATTTTCTATTTATTCTTTTGGGTTTTTTGTTATTGTTGTTGTTACAGGGTCTCGCTCCAGTTGCCCAGGCTGGAGTGCAGTGGTGCCATTTCAGCTCATGGCCACCTTGATGTCCCGGGCTCAGGTGATTGTCCCACCTCAGCCTCCTGAGTAGCTTGGGATTACAGGTTCCGGCCACCACGCCCAGCTAACTTTTTATATTTTTAGTACAGACAGGCTTTCACATGTTAGCCAGGCTGGTCTTGAACTCCTAGATTCAAGTGATCCACCCATCTTGGCCTCCCAAAGTGCTGGGATTACAGGTGTGGGCCACCATGCCCAGGCTTCTATTTACTCTTGAGTTAGTAAATTGTATTTTCCTAGAAATTCCATTTCATGTGGATTTTCTGATTTACTGACATAAAGTTCTTTATATTATATTCTTATATTGGTAATTTGTGCATTTTATCTATTTTTAAAATAGATTTTAGAGTAGTTTTAGGTTCACAGCTAAATTAAGCAGAAGGGACAGAGTTCCCATATACCTTCTTCCCCCATACAAGCACAGCTTTCCTCGCCAGAGTGATACATTTGTTACTATGAATACATTGTCATAACATAGTGACACATCTTTATCACCCAAAGTCCATAGTTGATACACCAACGTTCACTCTTGGTATTGTACATTCTATGGGTTTTAATAAATGTATAATGGCATTTATTCATCTTTATAGTAACATATAGAGTATTTTCACTGCCCTAAAAATCTTCTGTGCTCTGCCTATTCATCTCTCCTTCCCCTCTAACCCTTGGCAACAATTCATCTTTTTACTGCCCCCATAATTTTGCCTTTTCATGTAGAGGAAATCATACTGTATATAGTTTTTTTCAAATTGGCTTCTTTCACTTAGCATTATGCATTTACATTTCCTCTGTGTCTTTTCATGGCTTGATAGATCATTTCTTTTTAGAGTTAAATAATATTCCATTGTCTGTTTGTACCAGTTTGTTTATCCATTTACCTGCTGAAAGACATCTTGGGCAATTACAAATAAATCTGCTATAAACATCTTTGTGCAATCATTCTGAGGACATAAGTTTTCAGCTCATTTGGATAAATACCAGGAAGCAGAATTGCTAGATTACATGGTAAGCATATGCTTAGTTTTGCAAGAAACTGCCAAACTATCTTTCATCATAGCTGTACCATTTTTCATACCCATTAGCTAATTCCCATTAGCATTCCTGTTGCTCCACATGCTCACCAGCATTTGGTGTGGTCAGTGTTTTGGAAAATCACCATTGTAATAGGTATGTTATGGTATCACATTATTATTTTATTGCAGTTCCCTAGTGACATATGATGAGCATCTTTTCATATGCTTATTTTCCATCTGTATATCTTCTTTGGTGAGGTGTCTGTTGAGAGCTTTGGTCTACTTTTTAATTGATTTTTTTTTTCTTATTGCTGAGCTGTAAGAGTTCTTTTTACAGTTAGGTAACAGTCCTTTATCAGATGTGTCTTTTGTAAACATTTTATCCCAGTTTGGGGCTTATGTCCTCATTTTTTTACCTTTCTTTTTTTCTAAATCAGTCTTGCTAGGGGTTTATCAATATTATTAGTCTTTTCAAAGAACCAGTCTCTGGATTTGTGGCTATCCATTTTCTACTTTTTTGAGATGTATACTTAGACTGGTTTTTAGCCTTTTTTATTCAAGTTTTGATGTCATTTAAAAATTGCCATATAGTTCAAAATACTGTCAAAATCTATTATAATTCGTTTTGAACTATCAGTTATTTAGAAGTATAATGCTTAATTTCTAAATATTTCAGACTTCCCTGGAGTTTTTAAAAATTGGTTTTTAGAGTAATTTCACTTTGGTCAGAGAACATATTTTAGATGATTTACCCTTTGGAATTCGTTGAGATTTCCTTTAAGGACCAGCATATGATAAAATTTGGTAAAAATTCAATGGATACTTGAAAAGAATACCTCTTCTGACACTGCTGGTTATAGAGTTCCACAGATATCAATTAGATTAAATTCATTATTCATCTTGTTGTATTTGTCCATATTATTGACTACTTGTACTATCAGGTACTTCAAGGTCTATAATTTTGTTTTATGTATTTTGAAGCTGTATTATTAGGTACATTAAAATACAAACTATATCTTCCTAGATTTATCCTTTTATCTCTATGAAATGTTCCTCTGTGTCCTTAGAAACGCTTCTTGACTCACATCTCTCTCAACTGATATTTGCATAGCTCTATTAATCTTTTTCGGTTGGTGTGTTTTTTATTTATCCTTTACTTTCGATCTTTCTCTTAACACTCAAAATATGCCTCTTGAAAGCCAGATGTAGTTAGGGTTTTAAAATATTTACCCATGTGGCAGGCAGCCTCTTTAAGATGACCTCAAATGACCAACCTCCCAGTATTAAAGTCTTGTATAATTCCTTTCCTTGTGTGAGGACTGAACCTGACTAACCTCTAGTGAATTCTAGTAGTCTTGCTCATGTGGAAGTTGTCAGATTCAAAATGGAGTCACTTGTGTCAAACCCTGACAAAATGGAGCCAGGGAAGTCTATGAAAGGAGGGCTTTCATGTATGCTTTACCTGATAATAGAAATAAATTGAAGCTTACCACTTAAATCACACAAGGACAGCAGGACAGCTGATCACTTTCTAAGAATACTTGGCCTGACACACTGACTCATATGCAAGGCCAATTGAACAAAACATAAGGTTACAAATTTTACCCAACAACTGCCCTCACTCACAAATCAGAGCTTGTCAGCTCCCAAAAGACACTATCCCCACCAATTACTTTCTTTCAAAACAACTTGTATAACCTCCTCTTTCCCCAATAAAACCCTACCTTTTCCTTTTCACTGGACATACTGGAGGACACTGTGGTCTGTATGTATGACCTGGATTGCAATCCCATGTCTTGTGTATTATTCCCCAATAAAACCTTTTAACTTACAGATTAATTTTTCTCTATATTTTTATGATGACGCAAATTACTTCACATGTATAAATACAATTGTATCTGTAGGACAAATTCCTAGGATTGCTGGCTTAAAAAATGTAATGTACCACTGTAATTTTGATAAGATACGGCCACCCCTTTATAGTTTGCACTAGTTTATACAATGTATGACAGTGTCTATTTAACTACACACTTGCCATTGCCATTACAGTGTGTTAACAAACTTTTATTATTTTTGATAGGTGAAAAAGTTCTATTATTAACATTTTCGTATGCTTCCAAGTCATTTGTATTTTCTCTTCTATTAAATGTCTCTGTTAATCTTCTTTGCCCATTTTTGTACTGGATTGCTAATCTGGTTTTATTATTATTATTATTGACAGGGACTCTTTCCATTTTAGATAAATTAAGCCCTCATCTTGGTAGAGTTACACATTTCTTGTCCAAGTCCTCATTTGCATTTGCTTATGGTGCTACTGTCATGATGAAATTTTTTTTATCTCTGTGAAGTCTAATCTAACAATCTTTTATGGCTTCTGGGTTTTGTGGCATACTTAGAAAGGTCTTCCCCACTCTTAGGTTATAAAATAACTTTCCTTTTCTTTTCTAGTACTTTTAGGAAAAGTATTGTTTTCAGGCCAATATCCATGATGAAGATGGATGCAAAAATCTTCAATAAAATGCAAACCGATTGCAACAGCACATCAAAAAGCTTATCCACCATGATCAAGTAGGCTTCATCCCGGGGATGCAAGGCTGGTTCAACATATGCAACTCTACAAATGTAATTCACCACATAAACAGAACCAAAGACAAAAACCACTTGATTATCTCAATAGATGCAGAGAAGGCCTTCAACAAAATTCAACAGCCCTTTATGCTAAAAACTCTCAATAAACCAGGTATTGACAGAACGTATCTCAAAAGAGTAAAAGCTATTTATGACAAACCCACAGCCAACATCACACTAAATGGGCAAAAACTGGAAGTATTCCCTTTGAAATCTGGCACTAGACAAGGATGCCCTCTCTCACCACTCTTATTCAATATAGTATTGGAAGTTCTAGCCAGAGCAATCAGGCAAGAAAAAGAAAAAGAAATAAAGGGTATTCAATTAGAAAAGGAGGAAGGCGAACTGTCTCTATCTGCAGATGACATGATTGTATATTAGAAGACCCCATCATCTCAGCCCCAAATCTCCTGAAACTGATAAGCAACTTCAGCAAAGTCTCAGGATACAAAATCAATGTGCAAAAATCACAAAGCCTTCCTATACACCAATAACAGACTTAAAGAGAGCCAAATCAAGAACAAACCACCATTCACAATTGCTACAAAGAGAATAAAATACGTAGGAATACAACTAACAAAGGATGTAAAGGACCTCTTCAAGGAGAACTACAAACAACTGCTCAACGAAATAAGAGAGGACACAAACAAATGGATAAACATTCCATGCTCATGATTAGGAAGAATCAAGATTGTGAAAATGGCCATACTGCCCAAAGTAATTTACAGATTCAATGCTATCCCCATCAAGCTACCAATGACCTTCTTCACAGAACTGGAAAAAACTACCTTAAACTTCATATGGAACCAAAAGAGAGCCCGCATAGCCAAGTCAATTCTAAGCAAAAAGAACAAAGCTAGAGGCATCGCACTACCTGACTTCAAACTATACTACAAGGCTACAGTAATCAAAACAGCATGGTACTGGTACCAAAGCAGAGATATAGAACAATGGAACAGAACAGAGGCCTCGGAGGCAATGCCACACATCTACAACCATCTGATCTTTGACAAACCTCACAAAAACAAGCAATGGGGAAAGGATTCCCTGTTTAATAAATGGTGTTGGGAAAACTGGCTAGCCATGTGCAGAAAGCAGAAACTGGACCCCCCTTCCTGACACCTTACACTAAAATTAACTCCAGATGGATTAAAGACTTAAACATAAGCCCTAACACCATAAAAACCCTAGAAGAAAATCTAGGCAAAACCATTCAGGACATAAGCATAAGGCAAGGACTTCATGACTAAAACACCAAAAGCATTGGCAACAAAAGCCAAAACAGACAAATGGGACCCAATCAAACTCCAGAGCTTCTGCACAGCAAAAGAAACAGTCATTAGAGTGAACCAGCAACCAACAGAATGGGAAAAAAAATTTGCAATCTACCCATCTGACAAAGGGCTAATATCCAGAATCTACAAAGAACTAAAACAGATTTACAAGAAAAAAACAAACAAGCCCATTCAAAAGTGGGCGAAGGATACGAACAGACACTTTACAAAAGAAGACATATATGAGGCCAACAAACATATGAAAAAAATGCTCATCATCACTGGTCATTAGAGAAATGCAAATCAAAACTACATTGAGATACCATCTCACGCCAGTTAAAATGGCGATCATTAAAAAATCTGGAGACAACAGATGCTGGAGAGGATGTGGAGAAATAGGAACACTTTTACACTGTTGGTGGGAGTGTAAATTAGTTCAACCATTGTGGAAGACAGTGTGGCGATTCCTCAAGGACCTAGAAATAGAAATTCCATTTGACCCAGCAATCCCATTACTGGGTATATATCCAAAGGATTATAAATCGTTCTATTATAAGGACACATGCACACGAATGTTCATTGCAGCACTGTTTACAACAGCAAAGACTTGGAACCAACCCAAATGCCCATCAATGATAGAGAGGGAAAATGTGGCACATATATACCATGGAATACTATGCAGTCATAAAAAACGATGAGTTCGTGTCCTTTGTAGGGACATGGATGAATCTGGAAACCATCATTCTCAGCAAACTGACACAAGAACAGAAAATCAAACACTGCATGTTCTCACTCATAGGCAGGTGTTGAACAATGAGAACACATGGACACAGGGAGGGGAGCATCACACACTGGGGTCTGTTGCGGGGAACTAGGGGAGGGATAGCAGAGGGTGGGGAGTTGGGGAGGGATAACATGGGGAGAAATGCCAGATATAGGTGATGGAGAGGAAGGCAGCAAACAACACTGCTATGTGTGTACCTATGCAACAATCTTGCATGTTCTTCACATGTACCCCAAAACCTAAAATGCAATTATATATATATATATATAAAAGAAAGAGAAAGTATTGTTTTTTATGTTTAAATCTTTTGACTGTCATTTGTCCTGGTATAAGAGGTGAAGAATAGATCCAACTTAATTTTTTTCTCCAGAGCTCTACCCAATAATTCCCACCCCATTTGCTGATTGAATGAATTGCTAATCTTTTTTCCACTGATTGAAAAGCCACCTTTATCATATTCTCAATTCTCACAAAATTTAGATATATTTCCGAACTGTTCTGTTCCACTCATCTGTGTGATTACTCACAAATTGTTACCACACAGTTTTAACTGCAGTACATGTGTAAATTTTGATATCCAGTAGTCTCCCTCTATCACTATTTTTAATATAAACTTTAGAATCAGTTTATGTAATTTTTTTTCAATTCTATTGGTATTTTTTACTGAAGATCACATTAGATTTATGAGAAGTGATATTTTTATGATGCTGCATATTTCTTTTTTTTTTTTTTTTTGAGACAGAGTTTTTCTCTGTTGCCCATGCTAGAGTGCAGTGGCGTCTCAGCTTCTTGCAACCTCTTCTTCCCCCGTTCAAGCGATTCTCCTGCCTCAACTTCCTGGTTGGCTGGCTACCAAGGGCCATGCCCCCACGCTCGATAATTTTTTGTATTTTTAGTAGAGATGGGGTTTCACCGTGTCAACAAGGATGGTCTTAATCTCCTGACCTTGGGGTCCACCCACCTTGGTCTCCCAAAGTGCTGGAATTACAAGCGTGAGCCACTGCACCAGGCCTGATGCTGCCTAATTCTATCCAGGGAACGTGATGTATCTTTCTATTTGTTTGGGTCTTGTTTTATCTCTCATTAGCATTTTAACATTTCCTACAAATAATATTTGTGTTTATTCCTAAGTATGTTATCATTTATGTTTTGTGCGGTTATTATGAGTCTTTTCTTCCCTTATAGCTTGAAATTAGACATTGTATATATAAAAGCTATTGATTTCTGAAAATTAATTTATTAAATTCTTATTTTGTAAGGTCTGGTTAGTCTTCCTTAGTTCCTAAGTAAAAAACTCAGTATCATCTGAAAATTTTAATTTTCTGTATCTTTAATTTCTTAAAGATCATTTCTGTATCTTTAATTTCTTTCACTTGTCTAATTGTTTCACCTAAGTCCTATAGAACATTTTCAAATAATAAGGATAATTAGTGGACATCTTTTTCTTGTTCCTGACTTTAATGAAATTGCTTCTGTTATTCACAATTAAGCACAATGCAGGCTTTGAATTGAGATAAATATATTTTATCATATTAAGGAAACACCCAGCTATTCCTAATATTAAATGATCCTTGCATTCCTGAAATAAGCCTCATTTAGTCATGGTAAATTACTCTTTCATCTAGACCCAGCCTGACTGGGTTCAAATCCTGGTACCATTACTTCTTAGGTTTTTGTGTTCAGACATCATACTTCACATCTTTATGACTCATCTTCCTTGCCTCTTAAATGGGGATAATAAGAATATCTACTCATTAGGTTGCTGTGAAAATCAACTGACTATATGGAAAGTTGAGTGTCATTTCATTTGTTTGAGAGACACCTGCATTTTCTCCGTGAACTGTCTGCTCATATCTCTTCCACACTGGTCTACAGGAAATTCCTTTTATGTTATTTATAAATTAGGACTATTAGCCCATAATCTGTGATGTAAGTTGCGACCATGTTTCTGGGTTATCACTTCTATTTTAGTTTGCTTACTGTACATATGCATGCAAGATTTTTAAAAAACATAGTCAAATATATCTCTTATTGCATC